CAGACCCCAGTGCAAATCAAATGAACCTTCAGGTAACGGATCCAGGGGTAACTCAGGACTCCACAACACATGATTCATGATGAACACATGATGTGAGACAGCCCTCTCCCATCTCTCTGTGCCTCTTTCTGAAGAATAATTGCCACAACCTCAGATCAATGAAGGAGAGCAGCGGCACGCAGGGGTCACCAGCAAGGACAGGATGCTTCCATGGACACCAGGCAATATCACAACTACTGCATCCCTCAAACAAGGTGATGATGAGCTTCAAGAGCATGAGGGCACTGGACTTAATACCAGAACAGAGAATTTTCTTGGCTCAGTGAGGGTTTCAACATAGATTTTTACAGAATAAAGTCAGTGACAACAGACAACTCCTAGGTGAAGCTAGCCCAGGCAGCCCAATGTGTTCTAACTGCCTCCTGTCTTACTCATGTTATAGCCAACATAAGTCTTCATGTTGAGCACACTTGTGAGATCTCTCAGCAAAGATGCCAAGAGTGGGATATGATTGAGAAAAGTTTCTAAGTTTCACAACTGCTGATTTCTTAGGGTCAAGACACAACTTTAAGAAAGTCCATATGTGTTATTCTCCTGGCTGTGGGAGGTTGGCTGCAAGAGAAAAGAGACCTAACATTTATAAAATCCTGCCCAAGCAATATGGCTAAGCTTGTGAGGAAATATATCAGTGGATCTTACATTGAGATCTTAACTAAAGGATAAACTCCTGGCTCCAGAAGATGGGACTGCAAGACAGTGTAAGCAAAGTACCCTGTGAACTCCGCAGAATAAATCCAAGAATAGGTAAGGAAAAGTTAATTCAATCTCCCAGTGTTGCTTCACACTTTTGTATTTCTTAGATAGAACATCACTTAGGCAGGAATGTTTTAGGCAAAGAAGTCTCAAAGCATTTTCTAGAACACCAGTTGCTCAAGCAGCAAAGGAGATTCAGAGTAAAGAAATACTCGTGTGCAGACCTATGACAGAAGCAATGGCTAAAACTTTTAAGTGTGTGAATATTTGTATTTCTTCCCAATGCAGAAGGCAGAAGTAACTTGCCATCTTTATCAAGTATCAGTGAATTTAGTCAGCATATTTAAGAACTTGACAATTTTTTTAAATGATATTGCTAAGTGTGGACAAAAACACTTTTAAAAAATAACAGAAATCTTGCACCAGAATTAATGTGTAAACAGAAGTGCTAGTTCAAGATCTTTCTAGACATGTTTAACTACTACTACAGCTTCATCTGCATGTTAGCATGCAGACATAAGCATAGATCTGTTACATAGTTATTAAAATTCATATATTAATAAACCTAAATGCTCTGTTAAGTAGCCTGTTGTATGCTCAGCGCTTCAATAAGTGGCACACAGACAGGAGGGCTTGAACTGGATATGGTTTCATGATAATCCTGTTCTGCTTCTGTATCAGCACTTCCCCTGAGTCTGTGCTCTGTTGTAGCTGTCTCATTATCATTTGAAAACAGAAGATATCTAATATATGAGAATAGAGAATTATAGAATCATCTACACTTTTAATATCAAGTCCAATAATTAAACTGATCTACTGAGTCCCACCACTACACCATGCCCCTTAATGCCACATCCACACATCTCTTACATACCTCCTCAGCCAGAAATTCTCCCAGGCTATTAAAAGCCTTTTCTATAGTTCATTTTGCCCACAGCACCATTCATCCATATCGTGCTCCCTCACACACCACAGTTTTTTAAGAACACCATCTTCCCTCACACTTGTAGTATTTCTTTTAAGAGAAACAGAGATTCAAACATTTGAAGAGAACAGATTCAAACATTTGAACAAACATCTGAGCTGTAGATGAGGACAACTTGCGAAACTACACTCTAATCAGCTTGGAAAGGTTGTGGAGCAAATCTTCCTGGAAGCTATTTCCACATACATTAAGGAAAAGGTAACTGGGAGACACCAGCACAGGTATATGAAGGCTGAATCCTTCCTCATGAACCTGATAGATTTCTATGATGAGATCATTTGCTCACTGGGTGGGGAGAGAAAGGGAAAGGTTGCTTATCTCAACTTCAGCAAGATTTTTCACATTGTCTCCAAAACATCCTCACAGACAAAATGATGAAGTATAGGCGAGAGAAATGGATACTGAGCTGGACTGAAAACTGCCTGAACATCCAGTCACTGGTGATGTAGCCCAGGGGATGATATAGGGACACTTCATTAGTGACCTAAATGATTGGACAGATTGCACCCCCAGTTGATAGCAGTTTGGTAGAGAAATACCTGGGGATCCTGATGGACACCAAGTTGAACGTGAGCCATCAATGTGCTCTTGCTGCAGAAAAGACTAACTGCTCCTAAGCTGCATGAGCAATGTTCTGTTCAGGTGGAGGGTGATGACCGTTGTGCTCTTCTCAGTGCTGGTGGGGCCACACCTAGAGCACTGGGTCCAATTCTAAGCTTCCCCCCATATGAGAGACACATAGAGCTATTAAAGATAGTCCAGTGAATGATGAAGGGGCTGGAGCACCCCTCACTGGAGCAAAAAAAATTGACAGAGCTGAGGCTTTTTAGCCTGGAGAAGATGAGGTTCAGGGAGGGCCTTATCAATGTATGTAAACACCTGACAGGAGAAAGAAGATGCAGCCAGACTCTTCTTAGTGATTTCCAGTGAAAGGACAAGAGTAAATAGACAAATTGAAATACAGTAAATTCAGTTTAAATATAAGAAAAAGAGGCTTTTTTTGGTTTGTTTTTGTTTGCTTTTTTGTTTTTTTACCAGTATGGAGAACTTAACACTGGAACATATTGCCCAGAGAGGCTGTGATGCCTCCATCCATAGATATTCTGGACTGGACACAGCCCTGAGCAACCTGCTCTCGTTGACCCGTCCTGGAGCAGCAGATGAGACTGGATGGTCCAACATCAACTATCCTATGATTCTGTGATAATCAAGAGCTTATTGTCTTTTTGCCAGCAATGGCTTATACTGGAGGAACAGAAGAAAGCATTAAATCAGGAATATATTATCAAACCACAGTTTCATGTGAGCCTAGAAAGCAGCCCAAATCTGACCTCCTGGGAACACTGACAGTGAGACCTTCAGTATTTTCAGCCCTTGGACAACTGTTTACAGCTCTCAACATCTGTGTCTCCAGCTTTGCAGTACCAAAGAAGAGGCTCCTTCTTTCCTCTATGCACCAAGTTATTTTTCCTTAGAGAATTACCAGTTGGTTTTGTGATGAAATTGAAAAATATGAGTAATTTTGAAGCTGTTTATGTAGAGGCAACTGAAGGATCCAGACATCAAAGGAAGCATAAGTAAACGCCAGGCACTCAAACAAGTCCAGTGTTGGTCCAGCTACATAAAAAGCTAGGCTCAGTAGTAACCAGGGAGTATTTCAGAACTGAAGAACAAGGAAAGGCACAGACTGCTGGAGAACCAAGGGTGTCTGATACATCAAGTGACCACCCACAACCACGTTATCTTTATTTAATGAAAGGAAGTGAACTTTCTTTTTTTGCCTGCTAGGGTGACCTTTTTTAAAGCATCATTATGCTGTGCTAAGCAGCCTTCATGCTGCATCATACCCAACTCCCTCAGTCATTTCACACAGCACTTACTATCCTTGCTCCAGCCTTTTTTAGCTATGTAAAATATGCCAGTGAAGCGTTCCTGCTGGTTCTTACCAGCTGGTTTGTGCCACACTCATTGCATTATGAGCATCTTGCACTCATCAGTTTAATAAGGGTACAGAACAAATTCACACAGAAGCTCTTTCAACTTGCTGGTCCTGCCTATGCAATCTCCAGACATCTAGGTCATTCCAAATACTGGCTTTTTACAGCGAACACCTCCACCTTTTTTTTTTTTTTTTTTTTTAAATTACTCTCTGGGATCCAGAGAAGAACAGGATCTGGGCAGGGCCGGTGCAGAAGGATCCAATCCTGTGAACACTTTCTTAGAGACCAAGGTCAAGAAGAAATGGAAAATGGAGCTACCATCTTCCAGAGGCAAACAAGACAGCAAAGGCACCTACCATGAGAGCGTATTTCTGCAACATGGTCTGAGACTCGCCTGTTGTTTCCTTCACTTATGGATATCATGCATGTGCATGATAAATCTTCACTAGCATACAAATTATTGGTTTGGTTTTTTTGTGGTTTTTTGTTTTTGGTTTTTTTTTGCTATTAGCACTCTACAGCCTTCCTCTGAATATCTGAGAAATGAAGACTAGATACGACACAAGTAATCTGAGCTAACAGTGTATCATGTTTCTCCAGGTTATCTAATAAAAGATATTACCTATTACTAAAAACTGAACTTCTTCATGTCTTCAGAGGAACATAGGGAAAAAAAAACCAAAATAAACCAAATGAATGAGGCCCTCTACAACTGTTTGGAAAAAAACACAGTACCTAATGACCTTTCTGTGAGTTAAAAGCCTGATAACAACAATGCTGATCACTGAAGTAAGATTGAGGTGTATATGTGCTGGTTACTCTGAGATTTTATTAGGTATTCAAAAGAAAGTTTAATTTTAGGGAGTTACTTTATGCTATGCATTGCTGCAGGGCTACCCATGATGTATGATTACATTAGGCAGCATTATCTTGTAACGTATTGCTGCTGCTGCTGCTGTTGAGAAACTGTGAGGAGATGTGCTAGTAACACCTCCACATAATTAAGCAGTTATTAACAAATCACTGAGGGATAATAATAAGAGGACTTATTAAAGATTCCCACAACCAGAAATGTGCTCACCTCTTGTATCTGTGCCAAAATTGCTAAAATATCTTGACAACAATGTGCCCTTAGAAGTGAACAACACTACCAGCTACAGGAGCACCTTGAAGGTGTTCACAACATTTGCAAGTATTGTCAGAAAGTTTCACAAGAGCATCCATGTCTGGGACCTCAGATTTCTCCAGCAAAGCTGAGGCTTCCCAAGACGATGATTTTGCTATGCTAGGCAATGAGATACAGACCAGAGTAAGGATCTTACCTGTCTCTGAGGACCAGTAGGTTCAGATTCTCGTCTCCTTTGTCGGATAGCTGGTGCTGAGTGTAGGGGGGAATGGGCTGGACTTCCTGTCTGCTGTTCATGTTTACTGTCAGATACTGTTTGAGAAGGTCCTTCATGTCTATGGGAACTGTCCTCCTCAGTCACAGGCTGCATACCCCGACTTCGCCCATCATGAGTCTTCGGCCTGACTGCGGCATCTGCCCCCAAGCGCCTTCTCTCCTCACCGTCTTCAATAGGTCTTAGCTCCTCAGGCTCCTCATCTGTGGTACCAGAGGTGCTTGGCTCAGCACCTGGATGAAAGTCCTTCAGCTCTGTCTCCTTATCAATGATAACCCACTCCTTGCTATCAAAGTCCTCCTCCTCTGCAAGCGGCACTGAGCGGAAAGCATTGCTGAGGGCTTCATGTTCCACTGAAGCAGACACATCCATCCGACCACTTGCCTGCCGGTCAGCCTGGCCGGTGTCAATGGACAGCATCTGGGCTGGCTGGGAGGAGCACACAAGCCGCGATGGAGAGCCAGGCAAATCCATTCGTGATCTAAAGACAGAACATGAAGCCATTAAAAATACATCATGCTTGTGGTTAAAGGTAGAGAGCATACGAGCTGAGAAAAAAACTCTATAGCTCTCACTACTTTCTTAGTGTACTTTAGAAAGATGGGATTAGGCAAAAACATTTATTTAGAACTACAGTAGCAGAGGGACACTCCTCCTAAAGTAATTCTGTATGATAGCCACCAATTTCATCAACTCTCTTCCTTACAGCTGACAAGATTCCAACCAGTATTCCTCCACAGCACCAAAATACTCCTTCCCCATTAGGAATTCCTACTGGGTTGTGGGAAAAAAAAAAAAAACTTAAATCTACTGTCTGACTTAATGTCATTGCTGGGCTCCTATATCCCTTCAGTTGCACTGTGCTCTCTAAGGTGGCCACTGAGGTCTCTGTGGTGGCTATGTGAGCTCTTTGAAGACATCAGGAAAATCTCACTGAAATGTTACAAGGCGTAGGTGACCTCAAAATAATTTGGAGGAGCAGGAAGAAAACATGTCACATATGCATTGACAAAGGGCAGTATAATGTTCAGTGACTCACAATCTAAATAGCATCAACTTATGCAGCCATGCAGAAATACCTTTCAAACAAACCCTGCAAGCTCCCTGTGCCCCAACAGCCTTGGCATCATCTCAGCTGGAAAAGCCAGAAGCACTTCTGTCTTTCTGTTCCACAGTGTTATGGTCCATGCTTCTCATTTGGCCTACACCTGCTGCTTCCTTTGCCTCCCTATTCAGTTCTGACTACTGCAGAGGTTGGCAGCTTGTTGCACAGACAATTTCTGATGCCCAGAAAAAGACACTTGCAGTGTTTTTTTACAAAGTGATTTCAGCAAGGACCATACAGAAGCCTTGTGTGCTCTTCTGGGGAAAAATCTTCAAGGGAAAACACAAAGGTGACTGACCACAGGGTGAAGGTTACTAAGCAGAGCTCGGTGTCTTGGCACAGTGGAAGGTCAGAGATGAGACAGAAGTACAAGTCAAAATGAGCAATTTTTGATGAAGAAAGAGGAATCGGGGAAGGTGGTGAATCAAGGGCTGATATAGAGAATGAAGTATGTGAAAACAAAGATCTCAGCATTAACCACCTGATGGACCTGAAAGAAGGGTGCTTTTGTTAAATACTTAAAAACAAAGTATATTACTGTGAACAGGGAAGACTTAGACAAGGTAAGACTGAACAGTAGCCCTCTCACACTGCATGTGTGTCAAAAATTGCATAGTAATGAACTCTTATTAAAAAAAAGAAAAAAAAAAAAGAAGCTGATGGGATTTAATCAATGTCTCGCTCCTTTCCCCAGCAGAGGAGAGACTCCTGGAGTGAAAGAATTTACTCAGGAATCCAGAGGAAGTACTGTGAGTCATGTCTCTCCTGTGAAAAGGAGAGAGAAGAATAAATAGAAGACCATGTGGCAGAGAGGGGCAATACTTGTACCATGATGAGGGAGGCTACTTGGAAGATGACAAAAAGATTTTTGTTTTAAAAATATGGGCTGAGGAAAGAGGACAGCAGAAAGGGATGCCTCCTGGGTATTACACATTTCCTACATTAAGACAGCATGATGCTGAAAAGATAGGGAAGAACAGGAGAAATAGAGGAAGGAGTTAAAACTTTCAGTGAATGTACAAGAGTAGTGCTGCTCACTACTATAAATGTTTTTTTTCCCTTCTTATTTTAAATAGGACAAGAAAAGAAAGAAGTTAACCAGAACCAAGATTTGCTTTTCAATCTCAAAATCATTAATAGTAACACACACAGTCATTTCTAAAATACAGACAAGTATTACAGTTTCCTCCATCCATGCAGAATAAACCAGTACCTAACAAACCGGAGGTAATACTAGGGGCTCATCCTCTCTATAGTTCTTTTAGGTTCTTCCTCATTTCCAGCTTGTGCCTCCTATGACTCTCCTTTCTAGCTGAACTCTGCTAGATTTTCTCTGAAAGAGAAGAAGGCTTGTCTCTTCCCTACCAGTTTTACAGGGGTCATTTTGTCAGTAAGATCTGTAACCACAGTCCATGTCCTGACTTTCAATTGTAAGAGGAAGAGGGAGTAAGGAAGAGTATGAAGAGGGTTATCAGCATCAGAGGTCTGTATCTCATAACTTGTATTTCTCAGCACACAATACTTTAAACTGCTTATTTTAATTATTTTTATTATTCTGTGCTTCTTGGACATTTCTTTACTGTGGATCTGAGATAAGTACTCCTACAAGCCTCAAAATCAGGCTCTGTATTCTGGATGCAATGCATACTTTGCAAAAGCAAACAAATGCAACATTATATGTTGAAAATGATGAGGATGATGACTATTATTATTGAAAAATGATCCTCACAGAATCATTTGAGTTGGAAGGGATCCTTGAAGGCCACCTAGTCCAGCTCCCATGCAATGAACAGGGACACTTCCGGCTCCATCAAGTGCTCAGAGCCCCATCCAGCCTGACTTCGGATGGGGCTTCCAGCACAACTCTAGGCAAATGAAATAATGAAACTCACCAGATGAGAATCCCTCAGCTAGCTCTTAAAATACACGTATCTCTGTATGTATCCTAACTAGATCCATTCTTCCCTCCCACCTAAGGTCAGCAAAAAGCTTTAGGACTATTAACTTCCTCTCTGATCTAATACTTTGCTTTTTCTCCAACAAATGTCCCACTCTTTACCTGTGGAATTATTCCCATCCAGGAACCCTTCCCACTAACAGGCCTCATTAACAGACAAGACATCCCATCACAAAGGTCGCAAAGCCCACAGGCACTGACTCCTCCACCTAGAAAGGACCTTTCAGTGCCCATTTATCTAACGATCAGGTTGGCGTCAACGGTCAATCGAGGCACTGCTACAAGTAGCAGGAGGTTACAGAGGGTAAGCAAACCTTCTTTCATGTAGATCTGCTTTGCCATCAGCTGTAGAGAGGCGTTCTGACTCAGGGCTGTTCACACGGCGATATCGCAGGGAGCGCGCTTGTGCGGTAGGGGACTCTGGAGGCACTCGGACAGGGGAGCTGGGACAGACCCCATTTCTCTGATCTTCTTCCACCATGCACTGAGTCTGCAGGGAATAAACACGGAGAACGTTGAAAACCAATCACAGACTTGGATTTCCCATCCTTCACTGTTGCTCTGTGCATTCTTCCTGGACACAGTTTCAGCTACAGAAACAACCTATGAAGTAACACAAGGCCCACACGCCCTGGCAATTATCCAGTATTAAAACAAGGAATGGATTTTAAATTCAAATATTTAAACTCTTCTACAAAATGGGTTTTGTCTTTCAATTACTCTGGAATTATCATGGACTAAACTACCGCAAACACAAATTCTGTTAATCTATGGTGTCCAAGAGCCAAAGCAAACGTGTGTGAAAACTACATTTTTACTTACATTCATGCATTATATTGGATGCATATACTTCTACTTCGGATGGACATGATATGACTAAGTCAATTTCAAGCATGGTGACAAACATCTTTGGGAAGGGAACAAAATACTGATGTTGTACTTGTGGGAAAACAAGCAACTTGGCAAGATCCAAGAGCAGAGAACTGGGAGAAAGTGCAAGAGAGAAAGAAAAAAACTTCTGGAAAAACAACAGCAACAACAAAGAATGAGAACTTTGATCCAAAAGTGCAAGAAGAACCTTTCTCTGTGACAGTGAGCTGGGAAACTACCCTTAGCAGAGAAATGAGACAGAACAAGATTTGAACCATGTGAACAGAGAAAAATGATTCTCCTTAGTATGTCCTGGGAAAGTACTGGGAAGAACAAAAGACAGCAAGATTTATTCATTGCCTAAAAACAAAGAGCCGGACAGGGGCAGTGAGAGCTAATTCTAGTTCAACAAAACTGGAAAACAAAGTGTTGAAGCTGGGAATAGAAAGGTGTTTTACCAACCAGCTGCCTATGTCATTCTGAAAGACACACAGTATGCCTGAGATTGCAAGGAGAGGTGAAGCTTCATCCCTGCAGATCAAATCTGCAGCCTCTTCTATTTCTCCTTGTGGTGGTTGTGACTTCAATGAAAACTGACTCCTTATCAGAGCAATCAAAGCAAAGAGAACAGCCCTAGCAGAGAAAAAGGACAGGCAAGAGTCAGACTAAAGATAACCCTTGCTGACAGAAAGGCCAGACTTCTGCTTTGGAAAGCATAATGTCCTGGGCTCTGTTTTATTGACTGCTGTGTATCCACTGAGCTTGTCAGAACTGAAGCACTCATTGCCACGCTGACTCCTCTGAACTGCTATGCCAGTAAACTGATAAGAAATAGCACAGCCCTTAGCAGGAGAATCACCTGGTCATGCTGTGGATCTTGTAAAAAACTCTCCTGCCTCTAGTTGCTGTTATGACAGCCTTGTGAATGATAGCACTGAGTACTTAGGCACAACATACAACTAGCATGAGGAAAGGACAGTTAGGACTCCCCTGCACACATCTTGGTCTGACTGAAGAGCAGCAAGGCACCTGGTGGCTCTAAGGAACAAAAGAACAGACAGGGATTACCAGATTTCTGTGAAATAATTTGTTTGTTTGTTTGTTTCTGTAACTTGTGGAAAAAGAAGGGCCTCGTTCTATCAAGCTTTTCTTATTCCATATGCCTTCAGATGAGAAAATCTGCAAACACACACACAATTTACCAGAGACAGATGAAGAAATGATTTGAACTTAATTTATAATTCTCAGTATTGAAGAACTGTTCAGGTAATGTTTCATACCAATAACATATTGACCCAAATTGGACACACTGGAGAACATTAAGTAAGTTAGGTGAGAGGTTTCTGGTCTTAAAATAATCTTTCCTAATAAGATTCAGGATAGCATAGATATCCATGGGAAGGGCTGAAGAAAGGACTAACTTTGTGTCTGTGTATAGACTGGAGTAAACTCTGGTCAGACCCAGCAAGGTGGTAGCTTTACCATATAATTAATGATAGTCTGCCAATATTTGTCTGCTAACTGACAGTTTGCCTGCCAATGCAGGTTTCTCTGGTAACAGATTTTGTTTGTATTTGGTGTCATGCCATGTGATATTCTGATTTTGAAATAAGAACTGAGATCATCACAACAAATGCTAGTTTACTTACAATATATAAATTGATCTAATATATAAATGAACTGGTAAACACACAAATAACACTTACAATGAATTCATCATCCAATCACTTCTACAAGAATGAATTGAAAAAATAGCGTACGGATTATAAGGAAAACCAACTGCAGTGTACATATAATGTAGGCTACAAAGCCTAATACGACCTTGGAATGCAAAAATACAAAAATATTAAGTAATGAGTTTGCTTTCTCTTAACAAGCATGAACCCATATGCCATTCACAGACTGTGCTACCCCTTAGAAAGGACAGTTAAACAACTGGAAGACAAATTCAACCAGTGATGAATTAAAGATCTAGGACAATAAGGCAAAATTGGGATTTCTGATACCGTATCAGCTACTCAAGGACTAGAACACCACTGCTTGAAGAACCAAGATGCTACATCACAATGTAGTGGTTACATGAATGATTCACTCTAGCATTATTGGGTTCACAGCATATTTTGCATAAAGATCCAAATTAATCCCAACGGCATCCACTCTGAAAAAACTGTTGTTCCCCATTTCCACATAGAAATTCCTGGTACTGTTTGTTCTGTACTATGTAAGATGTTACAGCAGTGGATCCAGGTTGCTTATAGCAGTCTGCAAATTCACTGCCCTGAGATCAGAAGCCACAAGAAATAAACATATGCTCTTTACTTTGCTGATGCTGATCCTGAGTTTGTTGCGATTCACATCTGTCTCTTCCCAAACTTCAGCCTCATTGAAAGCAGTGTTTGGTGTCTGGCCAAGACCTTCTGCTGGCCGGCCTGACAGGATGGGAGGAGCATTCTCTTGATCACTCAGATGTTCACCCTGTAGGACATCCTCAGTGTTCTCACGAAGCAAATCTCCTGGTACTGGAGTGACATTAACCACCCTACAGAAAAAACAAGAAAAGTAATAGTAATTAAAGAATGTGTCCTATCACACTGCTTCACAGAAATTCCTTAGCAGTTTTTAATGTATTTCTGATTGAAAAAAACAACCCACCCAGATATTACGATATGAAACAGATCAGAACATTCCACCTAGTATACAGTCACAAAGATGGAATGGATGTGTGAAAGCATTTAGGGACAATCAATTCTCAGGCTGCAAACTTCTTCAGAAGTTCAGGAGTGCACATTACACAGCACTTAGCTTAAAAACCACCCATCTTTCCATGAGACAATGAGGCTTGAGAGGCTTTATAGTTTCTATCCCCAGTAATATTATTATGGATTCTTACTCCTTCAAAAGCACCAGAACAGACCACAGCTCACCATCTGGACTGACTTCCAATTCTGAGCAACAAGTTTCATGTACTGCTGCACCAGCAAATGAAAAACCTTGTGACGGTTGGGGAACCACGAAGTAGGTGCAGGCAGCATGCACTCTGATGAGCTCAGCTCTACACCAGAAACCCATTCCATGCAGGGCAACTGCCTTTCTGTAAGCACTTTTAGAGAAGCTCCAGCTGTGTGTCTGTCATACAATATGGCATACTGGTTCCATTAATCCCAGTCAAAGGCATTCCTTAATGTAACTTAAACCAACAGACTCATCCAAAGTAGAAAATGTGCTTTCAACTAATATGCCTGAAGTCAAATCATGCCACATAGTTCCTACCTTCCAGGATCACAACAGCCTTTGAATCTTTCAGTAATGAACTTGTCAGTGAGCACGCCCATGGTCTGATTGGCATGACTGCAGTACTCACCCAAACATGGCTGCTGTTTGCCTGGTGTTTTGCTGTGGTGGAGTAGAAGTGCTAGTGGACAACAAGATATCCGTACCAGCCTTTTCCCAGTCAAAAGCTTCATTTTCAGTGATGCCTCTTTCTTTCATACTGTTCTCAAACACGGACATGATTAGCTGGAATAAATTTACAAAAACAATTTATTCTAAGAATAAGTTGGCTGAGAGAAGTTTTCATACAAAAAAAGATAATGAACTATGATGATGAGGATCAAGTGCATCTTGAGTCTCCATCTTGCCTGTAGAAGGTACCAAGAAATGAAAAGCAAATGTCACAAAATCACACTAGCTGTTTCCTAGGCTGTTTTTGGCTTGGTAACTGAAATTTCTCTAAATCTACCACGGTGACACATGTAATTTTGATACTGATCTGGCTAAACCTTGTAGTTGGTTGGTTACTCTAAATATAAAGCCTTAATTTCTGCTCGGTGTTCCTGTAGACTAGACATAGGAAAAATGGTACTTATGATACACAGAGTTCAAGGCTCACCAGAAGACATTGGACACAACAGCAAAGCTCCAGTTCCAGAATGCAGACTTGCTGCAATGTCTGGCTTAAATACAGCTTAGGCAGGAGCTCAGTGATATGCTTATGCACAGTGGTGACAGCCACACTGGACTGCAGAAAACAAACAAACTGTGAAAGTGACTAAATTATTTTCTTTAAAAGACTGCAGGTAGAAATGCACACGCTCGCATGGTTTATGCTTGTTCACTTCTGAGAACCAATTTCTTCAGGGGAAAAATGAAGCTACAGGCAAAGTGTTCTGTGCAGCAATGCATTACCCAGGGAAATGTGATGTCAATGCTAGGACATGAATAAACATTACCACAGATTAAATACCTACTTCTTCACATTTCAATTCTAGTTGTTTTTAGCAGCATGATCAGAAAACATTCTGCATGAAGGCAATGAGAATTTGCCATTTCCTACTACCTTTGGCTCACTGCAAAAAAAAAAAAAAAATCCTATCTGCTTTCAGTTAAGTCATCTTTTTCCTTTGTGGCCCAGAAGCAAACGATCACTGTAGCTCTACTCCTGCATTTTGAGAAAGAGAATTCTCAGAGCTGTCAGACCAAGGGACAGGTAGCACCTCTCTTAGAGAGAAGAGACAGACTGGATGTGACATGGCAGATGTAGCAACTCCTTTGCTCAGAAAGGGATTTTAATGTTGTGACAGTTAAATATGATAGGATTGCATTTCTGTTAGGCTCATCTCATGATACTTTCTTTCACCTTTGATAGAAACAGGACTTGTGCTGCTACTGTTGACGTGGAACTTGCTCAAAACTGAATGTAAGCAAACAAAGAGTCATTCTTGCTATTTAGTAAATGCATTTCTGTTTTTTAGTAACCTTGGACATCTCGTGAATCTGCCCCATTACTTAGTGAATACATAAGCTTCTGAACTATACATATCTTATGGCAAAGAATTCACCAATTACGTGAACTATTTGTTTTGCTCATTTAAATTTGCCATCTGCTAACTTCATATGGCAGTTTCTCATTTTCATGTTAGAAAAAGCAGAAAACAATTTTTTGCAGTTCTACTTTTGATTTTAAAGATGTCATGTACATGTCAGTCCTCTCATCTGCAGAATGTGCTGTCCTAGTCTACTTAATCTTTCTGTATCTAGAAGTCAATATATCTGTAGCTTCCTTGTTACCCCCTCCTTCCCTACACTTTCCCTGATTTAAATTATCCTTGTTATGATTCAGGTATGGAAGTATAAACAGTATTTAAGAAATATGCATCATACAGATTCACATGTTTATCTTCTAATAGTACTTGGAATTATCTTTATGGTTTTGTTTGCTTTCTGAGTGTTAACTGAGCACTGAATACAAGCTCCCCCAGAACAATCTATTCTAATGCCAAGACAAAGCTCGTCAGAGTTTAAATTAACATTCCTTTTCTACATACACAACATGAGACATTTACCTACATTGAATTTCATCTGCTATTTTCTTACCCATTCATTTCCATTAAGTCAACACGTTTTCTTTGTTATATAGCACAACTGGTATGCATAAGTGACACTCATCACTTTGGTATTTACTCTCTTTTCCAAACGATTTTCTGACCATTTGAAAGAACCTGGTTCAAACCCAGGGTTCTGTTAATTACACCAGTACCCTCCTTTAAATTGCTTTTCACTTCTCACTTGTTAACTATCTGTTTATTCACCTGAGAAGCTTCCCTGCTATTCCCAGTGAGCTTAGTTTGACTAGGAACCTAGCAAAGTCTCCTGATGTCTTTTAGAAATTACTATTAAAACATGATTTATAGAGCCCACAGGCTCAAAAACTCCTTCCAAGAACTCTACACATTTGCAGACAGACTGCCCTTATAAAAGCCATACTAACTAGAATTAGATTACTCTCACTCATCTGTCCTTTAACCATGGGGTCTTTACTACATTCCTGACTATATGTGATGTACACGTCAGTGCCAGGGACAGGCATTTTTTGAAGCCACTACAGAACTGGTACCACTTTTCTCACCTTCCACTGCTTTCATACTGAAGGAGTCTGAAGTAAGAAATCACATGCTAAAAGCAGGAGTGAATTCTTATCATTTCCTCACACCTTCAAGGCCCCAGCTGAGCCAGAACAATTTTTGTTACTTTCTGCTATAGTCTCTTCTGCTAAAAGTTGTAAATGACTTTGCAGGCTATTTTACAGGGATTTTACAGGCATCTACTGCACTCCCAATAGTTTTGTTGATGTTTTTTTTTTCCAGTACTGGGTTTCCTTAGCTGTCATTGTTCTAAAGCTATTCCATGGTCGTGCTGATCGCTCTCAGCCTTCTCTAATTCTATTCCTGAAGAAAGTTCAAAGCTTTATAAGTAGGAAAGTGGAGGGCACAGCACAGTTTCAACACCAACCTCAAAAGAGGCAATTCTCTCACTATTTAGGATTGGTTTGGCTTCACCTTAAATACTGTGTGCAGTTCTGGACTCCACAATATGAAAAGGATGTTAAGGTCCTTGAAAGAGCTCAGAGAAGGGCAAGAAAACTGCTAACAGCATGGGAAGGCATACTCTATGAGGAGAGGTTGAGGACATTTGGGTTGCTCAGTCTAGGGAAGAGGAGGTGAAGAGGTGACCTCACTGCTCCCTGCAGCTCCCCGAGGAGGGGAAGCAGAGGGAGATGCCAGGCTCTTCTCCTGGGAACTGATGACAGAACAGGAACAGCACAGAGCTGCACCAGGACAAGGTCAGACTGGGCAATAGGAAACATTTCTGTACCATAAGAGTGGTCAGACACCGTATCTCAATGGTTGATGCCCCAGTCAGTGATCAAGAGGCTTATGGATAATGCTCTTACTAGTACGTTAACTTTTGGATAGCTCTGAAGCTATCCAAAGCAATTGGACTTTATGATCTGTGTAGGTCCTTTCCATTGGAACCATTTGTTTCTAAACCACTGCTTTCAGAAGTCATGCAAAAAGTTACTATATCTAGGGTTCTTCTGCCTGCATGCAAGATGCCACCAGGAATCAGAGTAGCTTCCACAGTCACCGCAAGTCTCCCACACTGAGTTTCTTTCTGCTAACTGGAATGAAGATGACAACTGATCCCTCAGTTATGTTAGACTTCAGATAAGGGGCACAGTAAGAGCCTCAAGCAGGAGATACTACATATACAGAAGATTGAAATTCAACAGATTTGATTCACAAGGGATTTCAGACAGTCCAATCCCTATTCAAAGCATTGCTAACCTTGAAGTAAAATCCAGTTTCAAAGTCAGATCAGAGAGAAGTCAACAAAGAAAGTTGCTTTTCCTGACTACCTCCACCTTTGTTATCAAACTTTCACCCCATCCTGGATGTTCTTATTGAGGCAACTGCATATTTAATTATACCTTTCTCCAATGTTTAGAGAAATGATTCCCTTTTGAACGGATGTATATATCTCAGCCTGCAATCTGTATTTATCATACAGTCACAACAGACTGAATATAATGGAAGGATAGAAGAAGAGAGCAGCAGTCTCCATCTGAGACTGGTCCTCTCCATGACCAAGGAAGTTGTTTCCTACCTGAGGGCTTCTGTAGGTGCTATCCTTAGAGGCAGAATCCATTTTCTCAGTTGGATCTAGCACTCTGCCAGGCTGTATGAGAAACACGGAAAGTGGGAGAGGGCTCTCTGATGCTCTTTGCATATCTCAGATGATCGAGCTCTCTATCCTGAGGCTCCATTTCCAGCCAGGCCCAGCTAAAGGAGGGCAGAACTTCCGCAGAAAAACTCAGATGACAACGTTTCCCTTCAAGGTGAGAAAGATTCCCTGGCTACGTGCTAAAATAGGAAGCGGTAAGAATTGTAGTAGTGCTGGGTGCATAAAAAGAGAATTTTGATCTTTGTGTGGGAGCAGTTGCCTAAGTGCATGGTCCGGAGGTGCAGACAGCACTCAGAGCTTGTAGGGGAAAGACAGAAGTGTGATTAAGGCAAAGGGAGACAAACGTTGGCTAACACATAGAAAAAAAAAAATCACATAGGGACAAAGGTACAGGGAGAAAAAAGAACTGGAAGAATTCACATAAACAAAAAGCCACAAGTTAGGTTAAGGGGTAGTTGGAGGAAGAGAAGTACAGCTGTGAGGTAAGTAATATAAGTTTCTCTCTTTTTTTTTTTTTTTCCCAATAAAAACCCAACAATATGGAGAAGGGATGGTATAGGGGCAAAAAAGGCAAGAATCACTGACATGAAGTAACCACATAGCCTTCTACCCCTAAAACATCATTCCTGTGATGATAATAAAAATCAATCAAATATAGCAGATGCAGTTGCTTTTTCTTTCATGTGTGCTGCAGGATGGTGGTAAGGGCTACAGGTGTATTTTACCACCCTCCTCTTCCTGTTGGCATTTGCCTACAATTCCAGATGCTGAGAGCAGCTAAGCTGAAGACTGTAGATTTCATGGAATGGACAACTGAGAGCAAGGAGCACACAGCAGCAGTCAAGCACAATGCATCTCTCTTCAGTTACAGAGGATCAAGAAAAGAGGGACTGACCCAATATAGCTCTTCTTACATCCATGTTTGGCTTGGCCTCTTAATAAAGCCAAAAACATCCTATGATATGCAGCATTCTGTAAAGCCAGAAGACATACATCAGGAGAAGGCAGAGAGACAATACATCAACTTTCAGATAGTAAAGGAGAAGGGAGCAGACAGAATGATCTGGTAATTTGAGGCTCATACGCAGAGTTTATGCATCATTCCCCACTTCAAAATGATGGAGGTGAGAGGAAGGATGCCACCAGAACTTCATGCTACTGCAAAAGCTTTACTTGGTACAGAAGATGGGAGACATCAAAACTGCATTGACACTGGATCAAACAGACAGAACGTAAGAAAGGCTTAGGAATGGAAAAAAACATCATAACTCAGTTTATCACTGTGTGGGCTACGTACATCTTGAACATGCAATGCTGGCAATTTCCCACCTCAAAAATGTACAGTTAGAAAAGGTTTGGAGAAGGATCAAAGGTGTGGAAAGGTTTCTTTCTGTGCAACTAAACAGTTTTGAATTGTAAAGCTACATGGAGGTCTACAAGACCTGGGAGAGGAGGTAGGGATCCAGTGCTCACAGTTCTGTCCCTGATGTAATGTCTCTTAAAAAGGGCACTTGCAACTAGCAGGTGGCAAGTTTAGAATAAGCAGAAGGAAGTAGCCTTTCATGCAATAAGCACTTAAACCATGGATCCTTTCTGTCACACGACATGGTGGATGCTAAAGGGTTACATAAGTTCAGGATGAGACAGGACGGGTTGATGAAACACGGATTCACTGAGGATTACAAGAAACAGACATATTTGGATGGGGTGACTCTTAAGCCTCAAAGGTCCCTGATTTTCAAGCTTGGAGAGCTTTCTGGAAAAAATGTCACTGAATGTTCATTCTTTTATTATCTTCCAACACCCAGTACTGTTGGAGACATGCTACAAGGCCAGAACAACATCTCCAATCAAAGCAGTTGGACTTTCACAGAAACTTCTCTCAGAGACTAACTTGGAGACTGACCAGAACTGAACAGCTACAAAACCAAACCTGTCCAGCTATTGGACAGCCTTCAGAATCCTAATCCTTACCTGGTGATTAGTATGTATATCTTAAATTGAAATATATTCAAAAGTTAAGGAGAGAAACAGCAACTTTAAATTATATTCATATACATTTTATTCAGTTTCCTTATTTCTGATCATTCCACATTGTAAATAAACCAAGACTTTATATCTGAATAGACATCTTTGCCTCAGTTCCTTAATTTCTTTGAGAGCCTGCTATTGATATCAAACTCAGATGCCTTCTGATATGCTTTTAAATTTTTCTCAGTAATAAAACCAGATAAAAGAATGTAAAGGACATCTCTGAAGCTGAGATGTTTGGAGAATTTGCTGGCTGGATTATGCTTCAGTCAAGCTAGAAGAATCACTGTTCAGTGCTGAGCCGCAGGTGCCAGATTTTTGTGGAGAGTTCTTTTTGTAGGCTTCCTCCCAGAGCTGCACCTGCAAGAAGCTGAGGGCAAAGAGGCAATTCACAGCTTCAAGACAAATCCCCAACTGAGAAAAAGCTGTTCATGATTTGGAGTGCACTAAAATTGTCTGGAAAAATCCCCTTTCACTTCCATCTCAAGGATGGCTTTTCAATACAGTGCAATTATTTTATACTGGAATAGAACGATAGGAGGATATAGATTCAAAAGGAGCTTTGAAGATCACTAATCCAGCCATCTGCTCAAACCAGGGCTAATTACAAAGTCAGATCTAGTGCCTCAGGGTCTTGGTTCAGTTGACTTTTGGAAATCTCTAAAAATGGAGATTGTCTAGGTATCTGATCCATAACAACTCTCATTCTGATTTTTCCCCTGAACTAACCCCAACACCCAGCAAGTGTAACTTGCACTTGCTGCCTCTCACTGTACACCTCTGAGAAAAGTCTGCCTCTCTGCCTCTCTTCTCCCTGCAGCCCTTGACAATAGTGGAAAATAACAATTACATCTCCTCTTGGCCTTCCTAAAGATCTAAAGAAATCCAGCTTCCTCAGCCTCTTCTCAGTCCACCATTACTGCTTTCCAGCTCCCCACTCAGTTGTGAATGTTACACTTCCACTGTACTATCCAGAAGGTGTCTGTTTTTTATTCCCAAATAAACCTAAAAGAAAAGAGTTGTGGTTGCTATGCTGAACAAGTACATAGCTAACATACAAAAGCACATCTTCCCACTCATCTCAGGCACTGTCAACAGGAGCAGTCACTCACATAAGACCGCATAGGTTTGCAAATAAAATATTGTTTTCATCGCTTTGGCTTTAATCTGGAAAGCAAAGCATTGTGACAAAAAAGGGAAACAGAGTCAAGCTGCTTCAGTTACATTGTGTTAGTTAACTACTGTAATTGATCACGTACAAGCTAATTGCAAAGACTGGACGGGAGAAAAAATGTTAAGATGAATATTGAAGAAAGATCCTTAGAGTTAAGGCCCACATGGATCTGCAAGAAATTAGAAAGGTTGGTGTGAACCATTCAGCTGGTGGCACAGGCTCCTTGCAGAGTTTGGCAAGCTGCACTAAAATTCTGCCATCTCACAACCTTTGTGTTTTAATGCAAACTGCTGCTTTGGGAAGAGCTTTCTGTTCTGGAGTAAAAGAATTATTTTGGGCTGAGCGGGCAAGAAGGAGAAGAAACTTTTGAGATGCTGAAGAATGGTACAGAATGTAAGAATCCTTTCTCCTGTTCTAGGAAAGGCCTAGACAGTCAGTTCATCAGTCAGATATAAACATGTGTGGAAAAATTAGAAAAAGCAAATACCAATCGATTGTGTCATGCATTAGTGTGGTAATAAAGACAGGCTCCTACCTGATAGTCTGGCTTGGTGAAGTAGTCTAAGCTTGCAATATGATCCAGAAAAAGGTGGAACTCTGAAGGCATGTGTTTTAACAGCATTCGATGTTCATACTTTTCTTTTATCATGCCAACTTGCTCCTGGAAAACATAAAATACCTCAGAGCCAAGAATCATTGCATCACATTCATACTTCCCCTGTCTTACAATTCCTGAAACACTATCCAGTCTTGTCATTCCCGGAACACAGCTGATTCATAGAAGCAGCATTTTGGCTAGACACTTCTGTTTTGATGTCCCTAGCACAGGAAGGTAGATCACAGCAAGAAAAGGCCAAAGGAGAATCCTAAGTCAGAAACACTCTTCAGAAGCTGTCCCTTTAGCAGAATCTTCTGCACAGGTAACGTATTTTTTTCCAGGGACTTGGTTCTCAAGCATGAATTATTTTCACTGTAACATGAATTTTACTCAATTTTACTCAATTTTCCAGTTGCAATTCCTATTTGGCTTGCATTCCATGCCAGTGTTATCCTTATGCCTTTCAAAGGCTCTGCTTTTTTTGTAAAAAGGACAGCTCATATTCAGCCTTTTCACTTTTGTTATTTGCTTTGCAAGATCAAAATTGCTTGATCCAATACGATTAACAATGTGCATCCCAAATAAAACAAACTCCACACTGGTGTGTGACAGAACACAAAAGCAGGTTAGCATCCAGCAGCAAGATCTGATGAAAAACAGGAATAATAAGAGTGATATTAACAAAAAGGTAGCACCCTGTCTCAAGCATAGATGCTAAATTTTTTACCTTATCTTTGATCTTTCTCCATGGAAGCTGACCAACTGCAAACTCCACCAACATGTAGAAGAGGGACCATAGATCATCGTGCCTACCCATCTCCTGGAGAAAAGAGAGACGAAGACTGAGGAGCAAAGTTCCATGCTGCTCAGTGGTCCAGATGTGCTCTCCAGATGAGCTACCTCATTTTAAAAAGCAGGGAGAGAAGTCATACTTGCCATTACACAATTAAAGAAGCCAGATTAAAGATTTATGATGCAAAATCAAGCTTTTACTAAACTGGGAAATGTCAACACGGTCACCTGAATAACTTATTTGTTTTACTTTTGAATACATCGTGGAACAGTTTTCCATAGGACTCTCCTTCACTTAGCATATAGAATATTTATTAACAGGATACAGAACAAACTAGATAAAGAAAAAAAAAAAAAAAGAACAGTGCAGAAAAAGTCTTCTTTATCATTGTTTTTAAGTAAAGTACCATTCCAACTCCTTTCACAAGACAGCATTTACTCAAGGGTTTTTTTAAAAAACTCTCATAATCAAGCACCACAATAGTTTCCAGATTCTCCCCATACCATCCTCCTCCTAGCCTAGCAAATGGGAAATTGAAACATAAAGCACATGAATTTGTTTTTGGCGCTCAACATACAGTATCCAGACTATCATTTCTCAGAATAGCATGCATTAAGCAGCAATTTTTGTGTCTAAATATAACTTCAGCTGATGCCAGCTACAGCTGAAAATTCCACAAATTATACTTAAGTTTTATCAGTATCCATCAGAAAACAGAAGGACTTCGTTATGGCATTCAGCTGCCCACCCTGTATCACACTTTCCACTTCTGGCAATGAATGACATCTTATAGCCAGTAACCTCCTTTCGTAAAACAACCTGAATCTTCCTCATACGTCTCATTTTTAATGAGATATCCTACAGACTCATTTTTAATAAAGCCACATTCAGACAACTGTTGAGGGACAGATGAAAGCATAATTAACACCAATCTGAATTAATACAACTCAGAGCTTTGTTCCTCACCAGAAGGATGATGTTTCAGAAGTAATGTATTTTGAATTTTTAAGTCCTGTTCTCAGAAAAAAAACAACTGTTTTTCCTAAAGCTTTTCTGAAAGTTCAGCTGCTAGCAGATTCCTCCTCCTCATTTTCAAACATAAGGAATTTACAGGTAGCTATGAAGAGACTCTAAGAATAGTGAGCTCTGGGCCACGCTAATTACAGAAGTACTTTGTAAATAAGAATACAATTTTCTGACATAGCAAAGGAATCTGAAGAATCACGTCCCCCAGAAGCCCAGAGTAAACTATTTAGAAAAAAATTTATCTTTATTTTTTTCCTAATTATGGGGAACTTTATTTTCAGTATGGCCCTCTATCACAAATACTTTCCAGCACATACTAAAAAAATTAGAATCAGGAAAGATTACATACCATAAAGACAATATATCTTAGTTTGCACCAGCTCAGGCACTTGTAGGACCCCTTTGCAAGCAGAAAACTAAAGCAGGTGTTTTTTTTTTCCTCCAACCCTGTTTTTATATATACCTCTGTGCTGGTACATGTATATGTAAAACACATACACACATATGTATGTACATATGCTTTGTATAGCAAATACTCTTTCAGATGAAAATTCAAGTGTCAGGATCACTATGGGAAAAAGTATGGGAATATGGTGCTTGTGACAAGGGCAGAGGATCAGGTGAAAAAAAACATTCTTTCTTTAGGTAACAGCATCCTGCTAGGCCTATTTATTATAGGTCTGCAAATGGCTGAGCCACTGACTCAGTCTGTTATAACAAGAATGCAAGCAAAAACTCCAAGATGACTTCCACCATGTATAGAATACTGCAATGATTAGAACTATCAATGCTGAATATTAATGTATTCCATACCAATTTACACTTACAAACACACTGTCTCAAAAGGTGACAGCAGCTAGGATGCTGGAAACCTGGAGATTAAATAGGAGGGCTGATAATTCTCATCTGGCAAGCACTTTGCAGCAGGACCAGAGGACTTACAGTTCACTGTCTATACAGGAAGCATTGCTAACTAGGACAAGAGTGTTTTGAGAAAAATGGTGGATGAGACTTCCGGAAGTGTTCAGAATGAAACATGCCAGATGCTCTGGAAATAATGGCTATTTTCAAGGAAAAAAAGTAAACTTGAGTTCCACTAAATAACTTTTCACCTGAGGGCATGCTGCTAAAATCCAAAATTCCAGGGGGAAAATGGATGTGAGGACCTGGCACTCATTGTCTCACAGTCAAGTTGTGCTGGAAATTAGTGAGCAGGCTGTAAGGTAACACTGATAACTGCATTAGTGGGAGTTTTTTCCTTTTAATCAGTGTCCAATAATGAAAATTATGAAGTTTACAAACTTGAGAGGATTCAATAACTGAATAATCATAATTTTGATTTTACAGAGAACAGCCTTGACATTCTAATGGAATTCAGATGATTTACTTACACAGGCTACAAAGCAGAACTCTCAGCTTTTAAGCTTCTGCTCCTGAGAACAAGTTCCTGGGGAGAAATAAACTTGTGTTTAACCCTTTATAACCCAGAAATACTCACTCGGTTTTTATGTGCATTCACTGAAGCGTAACGGACCGTTCCTCGAAAACCAGCAACGTTGCGAGGCTGAAGGGAGACAAGAGAAACATTTTAGAAAGAGCAGATTACTAAATCCTACATGAAGCTAACTGCTGAGAACTTATATATTCATCTTACAGACCCAAGGGATACAAAGCTCTCATCTGCTCTAGCGGCTGCCTGTGTAGCATTCTCAAATTCTGCATTTCCATAAAAGCTTATTTTACACAGAAGGAAAAGTTACAACAGGAATAGGTTAGAACAGCAGTAGTCTAGGAAGAGATAAGAATATTTTCCGGGATCATAACACCCAATTAAACACCAGGTCAAGGAAAAAGCTAGTACAGAAACGCTAGTGCAAAACTGAGTCAGAATAACAACAGCAAAGCAAAGTTTGAGGGCAGCCTGCTCAGGACAAGAACGAGAATCCCCTGACACGTGTCCAACTTTGCTGACACTGTTTGTCAACATGATTTTTTTTATTTTTATTTTTTTTACTCCTCACCAGTTTCTCCTCAGTACATTCAGTTTTTCTTGCTTTGATTCTCTTGATTTCCATGCCCTCTGGGAGGTGAAAGCTTGATAAAGGTACTCTGGGAAAAAGGCAGACCTCCTCTGACTTTTATTCGGAGCTGGAGGGGCTGAGCAACACCCCCAACTCTTTCCAATGCTGTCTCTACAATGACATTACCTTTCACAGTGTGACTTCCTTTATTCTCTTTATTCTGAAAAAACTGCATTTAAATAATGAAATCTTGCAAATTCTTTCAGCTCATCTAGAATAACCAGAGTTAGCAGCAGAGCTTTCAAAATTCATGTGGTAAAACCAGGTTCAGGCACCTTAAAGCTAAGCCTAGGCAAAGCCCTAAGCATTGAAAATGATGCTAAATGAGATGCTATTCTTGCAGGAATCTGAGCACACCAATAACCACTCTGTTAGGATGAGGTGTCCCACTTAGGTCAGTTGATTTCTGTTTGTTTTTCACCTGTGCCTATGCTTTCAGAGTGAAGCCTAAAACTGTACTTTTATTTAGGACACTTATGCCAGTTTTAGTGAATACAACTCAATTATTTCCTTCTGGATATAGGGAAGCTCTACATTTCAATATTCTCACAAAGAGTAAAAATTGGAGCATGTTTTAAACAAGATCAACACCACGCTGCTAATATGCACCTGAACAGCGTGCATAATGCAGCTCTGCAGTTACAGTGACTCCAAACAAAAAGTCACATTTCACAAGCAGAACCCATACGCACGTGCCACACACTTAACACAGCATATAACTTTGTAGTTCAACAGCTTGAGCTATAAACTACTTATGTAGCATCGGTAATATTCAAGATATTATTTTCATGACCATATATGTGTTTCCTCGCAGAGCATACATTTAAGATGCCTACTGACAAATTATTGCAAAATACCTTTCAGTAAACACCGAATTCACCAATACAGGTTTCTGAAAAGCAGAATGCTTGCCACTGGAGCAATATGTTGGAATTACTCTTTACCATAGTTGACCTCTACAGGACAGCTGTCCTCAAGAGGACATTCATTCCTCTTCGCCATTGTGAGTGGAAATTTTTCATGAGCCATAAAATAACAGTATATTATGAACAATTTCAATGTATAATCTGTAATGCTTTCAGAACAAATACTGTTCAATCTCTGTAGCACAGGGGAGATTACCTTTTACGTTCTATCCCTACTTAGATGTCCTCAGATATCAAATGCAGATCTATATGCATGGAGCCAAGTATCATGTGCTGATTACAGTATGGCTGGCAATATCTCTGAAAATATTTCTTAGATCAATACTTACTGTTGGTAACAGAGTATTCTCTTTAATTACATGTATTCCAAAACCAGCTCCTAGACAGCTTGCAGGTTTGTTCTCCTTTTCTTTCAGAATGAAAACAAATGCTCACCTATCATTTAACCAAGCTTCTGCCCAGCAACCACTATGAAACAGTTCACAAGCCAGACCTGCAGCTGAATCCAATAAGCTCTCTCCCCAGTCCTCTCTGATTTGCTGCCTGCAGGAGATCACTGCAAGACTTTGCAATTGTTTTGACAGGATGTTCAGAACTTTAAACAAAATAGATAAATGTTATGTATGTTAACAGCTTTTTCCTCCTAAAGGCTTTCCCTCCATATTTAACCCTACCAGTCACGAGACAATTAGTTTTGTCTTTCAACTGGGTCACTAAACACTGCAATCAAATGTTTCCATGACTGGGGACAGCAGGAGATATTTTCCATCCAAACAGTAAGTGCTCCTGCCTACCCAACTGCTGACTTATCTTCTGAATTCATCAATATTAATTCTTCTGATCTCTTTACATACCTCACTTCTTCCTGTTTAAAAAAAAAAAAACATCTCACCACCGCATTGCCCAGCAGTGAAGAATGGCCTGGATAAAGCATCCCAGCTGTCCAGAGCTGTCCACACCAGACACAAAACTGAAATTCTACACGTTCTGACAGGCTATGGAATTGTGTATAGCATAACTGATAAAAATCCCCCAAATAATAGGAAAATAAAAAGTTAACAAACTGATGTTGTTTTTTTTTTTTAATTTTTATTTTTTCCACATCAGTATTACTATGAAAAACGTTATTCATGATAAAGCATGTCCCCTGAATTCAAATTGTGCACAAAAGTAATTCATTACACAGAGCTGTCAGGGAGATGACAGAGATATGAAGTACATTGCATTGTCTCAGAAGTTAGGTTTAAAATGAGTTTTAGTTTGGGATAATATATTAGACTGGTTCCACAAGGAAAAAAATTATACTGTGTTCCTTTCAATATATTGGCAGTGTACTACAACACAGACAACTGACAGCAACATGTATGAGGGCTGCTCTAAAAGTAATGGCTCCTATTTTATTACATTGTACCATAACACCAGAGGCAAATGTTGCTGGTATGGCAACAGAGGTTGAACATTCCCACCAATATCCCACTACATTTTGTTGCCATGGGACAGATTGTGTCTGACTTGGAAGGGTGTATGAAGCAAAGGGGTGGAACTGAATCCCACCATGTGGAAAAAATGGCACCCACATTCAATCGATGCTTGCTTAGCATTTAAGGAGACCAAACAGTGGATGTGAGCACAGTCAGGTGGTGAGTGGTGTGTTTAAGCAGTGACAACAGTGATTTGAAAAATAAACCACTTTTTGGATGGCCATGCCCAGCTGTCACACACAAAATGAGGGAGGTCTTGATCAGTTCATCCATGTGAACTGATGGATTATTACCAGGGAACTGCATATGGAACTGAATATCAGCTTCAATGTACTAGAAATGATGGTGACAACATAGGAATATCACAAAGTTTGCATCAGGTGGGCATGATGAACACTTACACAGGAACAGAAGCAACACTGTATATGTTTGTCAGAACCTATTGAAACAATGAAGCTGAAGGTGGCAGTTTCATGAATCATATCATTACCCTGGTGAAACATGGTGTCACCACTATGAACCAGAGACAAAATAGCAGTTCACAGAGTGGCAACATGTGAACTCCTCATTGAAGAAAAAATTCAAGGCACAGCCCCCTGCAGCTAAGGTCATGTGCGGTGTCTTTTGTGATAGGAAAGTGACGATCCTCCTGAGTTTCCTGGAACCTTGACAAAGTATTAAGTTGTGATGCTGAGTAAGCTGAAGGCTTGAACTTCCAGGGTCAGGTCAGAAAAGAAAAGAACCTTTCTCTTGCAGCACAGTAATGTCAGGCCCCATACCAATCTAAAGACAAGGGAGAACATCTTGGCTGGACTGTCCTACCACAGCCACCTACAGTACAGTCTGGATTTGGTGCCTTCTGACTTCCGTATGTTCAGGTCAGTGAAAGATAAACTGCATGGACAACATTTTCCTAGCAATGACATTGCCATAGCAGTTGTGAAACAGTGGGCCACCTCTGTTGGTGCAGATCTTTATGAGCATGAATTGCAGGCTCTTGTTCACTTGCAAAGGTACGTAAGTAGTGACCATGTTGAAAAAAAGTGTTTTGTAGAGGAGAGTTTGCGTTATATTTTCCTTTGTATCTGTTCTAGTTTCCATGGAAATAAATAGGAGACATTACTTTCAGAGCAACCAATGTACAAAATGGGTACATTTTCCCAAATTGTGTCCTGCTTTGCACCCATGAACTTTTCCTCATTCTGCATTTTAAACACTTCTGACCACCTGTATTATAAGGGTCTCCCTTATGATTCATATTAAATTTACCTTTCTCGTAAATTTTCCCTTTAATTTAGGAACGTTCCTATTTCATCATGAATTAGAATCTTTGCTTCTTACACTACCTTTCTTCCTATACATTAAAACTTTTTCTCTCATCTCACTGTTCTCTAGATTGCTAACTTTGAAGGCCCTGATCTCCATCTCCATTCCTAATAACTCACATTTGGATGCCAGTACTTTCCTCCTGCTGTTTGTTACTCCTGTGGTGTTCTAATAGAGCATGACTACTGGTTCCTCCCCAGCCTGTGCAAACATCTCATGAGACCCACCACCTTCACCTCTGGCAGGACTGGTGTTATCTAGTACCAGTCATGGAAATAGGAAAGGGATTTCCAGTAGTAAGAAAATGAAAGGAAAGCTAGCACAGACCAGAGAGAAGAGGCTAAGGGGAGGGAGGTAGGGTCACAGATCACAGCAAGCGCTTGCAGATGTATCTTGGACTAAAATAGCTTGTTGGAAAAGTTGGAGTAAAAAGAAAAAGAGGAAACCTTAAATAAACAAAAAGCCAGCATCCTGGTGAGTACAAGGGATTTTCTGCTTCCACCGGTTAGGCCTAAAAGGAGACATGGGGATTTAAACCTCCACATCTACTGTGGAGTCAAATTCCGCATCTTTTGCATACGTTTTGAGATATTAAACTGTAGTACACTGCAGAATCATTAATGACAGCAGCATATTGTCCCAACAGGGAGTTGGAAATGAGTACAGAAAAATCTGGAGTCAAAAGCGTCAGATGAGAGAATTCCCCTCCCCTTGCCTCTGAAACCACAAGAGTGACAAAACCACAGTCTC